TAATGACAAATTTTCAAACTGCGTAATATTGTCAATGGTTAAGGAAGTAATACATACTTATAGTCAGAATCTTCCTTCTAATTAAAAGACTTAATTACCTAATACCTAAATTAACATATAATAATAAAGCTAATTAATTAAGGGAAAATATGATTAAAGGCAAGAAAAAACATTTTATTATTTTATTATTAAAATAGAATATTATATTACAGAAAACCCACATTTTTTTTTAATTTTATTTTAATATAAAGTCGAATACATTGAGCCCTTGATTAGGGGTCTAATCTCCACCTAACAAAAATTAAGGTTGGGCCACGAGAGAACGACAGAGGAATTTATCGCATTTAATTATTTTTCCACCCAATTAATACACGTTGCATACAGTATATTTTTTATTGTTGAAGAAATTAAATAATATTAAAATAAAATTTAATAAGAAAATGAGGATTATACGTAGATTAAACCTTGTTTAATTAAGGAATAATTAATCTAAAGTGCACCAGACAAGACCAACTTAATCATGCACCTCTCTTTTAAAAAAGAAATTGAGATGCTCTGTTCTTATGTGAACCGGGTCCACCAAATTTGGTGGTAAGATCCGGGTCTCTTTTTATTTAATATTACATGTAATTCAATCCAATAATTAATTAATAAATAAAAAGCAGTAAAATTCATATTATACAATAAAATAGAATGGAAATGGGTAGGGACGCTGTATTTGTTTACATATTAATGGCGCCCTCACTTGAATTCCTTTTTGTATTATTTAAAGAAACTAACACTAAATAGTCTGCTTTCACCCGTTATATATAGTCATCAGCTTCGTGATTTTCAATTGCGTCTATTCGGGAGAGATTTTCACACCTTTAGAAGGAATATTTCATTCTTCTCACCTCACGCTCTATCCTTCTTTGAGTCTAGAGTCAGCCTCATAGTTTTGAAACGCGGTATACTATAGAGAGATTTTCACACTACTGTCTACTAGTTAGAAGTTTTTATGCCCTTATAAGAAATGTTTTGTTCCTCTCTCACCTCACATTCTATTCTTCTTAGGGCTTAACGTCTGTAAAATGCGTCTACTAAGGAGAGATTTTCACACCCTTTTAATAAAAAAATACTTTGTTCCCCTCACCTTACAATCTACCCTTTCTGGGGCCTATCGTCCTCGTTGACGAATTTCAAAACGCGTCTAATAGGGAGAGATTTCCACACTCCTATAAGGAAGGCTGTCCAGTGTCACGCTTTGATACCATCTGGGTTTTTCCTTCCGAGCTTCTCTTCAAGGTTTTAAAACATGTCTATTAGAGAGAGGTTTCCACACTTTCGTTCTCGTCGATGCTCGAGAATAGGGAATTGGATTAGTTTACTTGGTTTCAAGTAAGAGTTAGCAGAATTGGTTAAGAAGTATTAAGGGGGAGGTCTTTGTTTTGAAAGATTAGTGGAGCAGAGGAAATAATTGAAGAGCTCTCTGTTCCTGTATATATAACAAGAATCTGCTCCATTTCCACTCACCCACCCACCTGAGACTCCATTTCCCTTCCTTTCCTTCTCCTTCCTCCATTAGTTTCCCGTCAAGCTTGCAACTCAAGAAAGGAGGTATGATCCTATTTTTGTTACCCTTTTTTATACATCTTTAATGCATTCTTCTCTTGGCTTCTCACCCTTTCATTTCATTGTTTGTCGGTCCTCAAGTTTCTTTCGTTTAAATGAATGAACCCAACAATGGTTCTGGATTTGATCAAAGAAAAACGCCGCCGCTCACTGACCTGAACGACGGCGGCGATAGAGAAGTTTCAGGGGGAAAAAACAATACGTTACTGAATTAAGGAACTTGTTTGGATTAATCTGTGTTCTTCGATCTGTCTCTGCCTAGAAACTTTAACACCGTCGGAATTGCTCTGTTTTTTCTCTGTTTTATCTACAGGAACTAATTGCAGAGATAATTATGGAAAAAGAAGCCGATTTCTCTCGTTGTGGTTTTATGAGAGGGGTTTTCCAGCGACGGTGCAAATGGTTGAAGAAAACCTCTGTGCATTCATTACCCACAAACAACACCGAACCAGTCGACTTAAAAGTACCCAAAACAGAGAACCCAACAAGGAAGAGCCGGAGCTCTGTTTCCGACGATGCGCCAACAGCCAGAAACTCAGTGGAACAAGATCAAAAGACACCGAAAAAACCCACTTTGGATCAACCAAGGCCCTCGATTTCTCAACAAAAGAATCAAAGTCGAAGGCCTTCCGATGCTGCAAGAAGCTCCACATCGTCCTCCAATGGCTCTGCACAAACCAGAGCGATCAATTCCCAGCAACAATTGACCGAACCCAGAACCCACATCCGTACATCTTTAAGTAATGGCGCGGTTTTGGGTAATTTGAAGCAAGCTGGAGGTGGGAATCTGTCGGCAAACAACAGTCCAAGGCTGAAAGAGATGAACTCAAGTCCAAGACTTGGAGGTAATAACATGGGGAACATAATTCGGAGAAATTCATGTGAATTCCGACAGATTCAAGGCGTGAGAGGTAAATTAGAACCGGATGTTTTGAAATCCATGGGAAATGAGGCATACAAAAAGGGGAAATATGAAGAAGCATTGGCTTTGTATAATAGAGCAATAGATTTGGATTCAGAGAACGCCGTTTACTACAGCAACAAAGGAGCTGCTCTGATTGGCTTAAATCGTTTGATGGAAGCCATTGAAGAATGCAAAAAAGCATTAAAGATTCAGCCTTCTTATCAAAGAGCCCATCAACGTCTAGCCACTATCTACCTCAGGTAATAATACGAATCTCTGTTCTTATTTCTGGGTTCAAAACTTGTCCGCCATTTGAAAGCTCAGCCACCACGAATTGCCATTTTGCTTATTACAGAACTGGAGAGCCTGAGAAAGCACTGGATCACATGGAACAATCCGGCTCATACAGTGACATAAACGACATGAACAAAGCTCGTGCACTTCAGAGTTGCCTGAGTAGGTGTATTGAAGCAAGAAAGTTACAAGAATGGGACACTCTGTTCAAAGAGACCAATTATGCAATTTCCTCTGTTTCTTGTTCAGCTTATAAACTCTATGCCCTGCAAGCTGAGGCATTGTTGAAGCTCCATAGACATTTAGAGGCATATTCCATTTACCAAAAGGGCCAAACCCTAATGGCTAACACTCTAACCAAGTCATTTAGTTTATCTGATAGCGCCCTTATTTTATCCATCGAGGCACAAGTTTACATGACCATGGGCAGGTTAGAAGAAAGGGATCAAAATGATCTTCAAATTATGACTTGGGAACTTCGTTTCAGAGAGTAATAAGTTTTGGGGTTTTGTGAATTTTTTACAGGTTTGAGGAAGCAGTGGAAGCAGCTGAAAAATCAACACAGCTTGATCCAACCAACAGGGAAGCAAGTAGAGTGGCAAAATGGGCTAAGTTCATTTCATCAGCTCGATTGAGAGGCAATCTACTTTTCAAGGAATCTAGATTCTCTGAGGCATGTATTGCATATAGTGAAGGACTAGAAAACGACCCATATAACTCAATTTTGTTATGCAATCGAGCCGCTTGTCGATCGAAGCTCGGGCAGTATGAGAAAGCTGTTGAAGATTGCACTGCAGCTCTCCACGCACAGCCATGTTACAGTAAAGCCAGACTCCGCAGGGCTGATTGCAATGCTAAAGTAAGTAAATTTTGCCTCAAAAGAACTTCCTTATTTGATGCTCATTTTGGTTATTTCTAAAGATTTGTCCCAATTTTGTGACCAGATGGAACGATGGGAGGCTTCAATTCAAGATTATGAGGTTTTGATAAGAGAAACACCAGGAAATGAGGAAGTGGGGAGGGCTCTGTTCGAGGCGAAGCTTCAACTCAGAAAGCAGCATGGGGAGGACGTCAAAGACATGAAATTTGGGTCCAATTTAGTGTCTATTTCTAGCTACGAGCGGTTTAGACACTTCGTTACTTCTCCTGGTAAGTAAGTGCAGAAGAAAAGTGATGCATCCATGTAAAGTTGTCTGTTTTTTGAAGTTTTGAATTGGCAGGGATGTGTGTGGCTCTGTTTTGCAACAAAGGCAACCAAAAACAGGGGTTGGAAGTGTTGGAGCAGGTTTACAAGAGGTTTCCATCAGTAAACTTTCTCAAGGTAAGAATCTACTGAATACTTAGTTGAGATTGTGATGTTAGAATGCTGAATTTGGGAGAGTTTCAGGTGGAGATAGAAGATCATCCTTATTTGGCGAAGTTGGAGAAAGTGAGTGCTATTCCAGCTTTTAAGATATACAGAAATGGAAGAATAGTGAAGGAGATTGCAGCCTCTGAACCCCATTCATTAGAGAGCTTAGTGAAGTTGTGCAGCAGTTGAGTTGAAGCAGAAGCTTAGAGAAACAGAGGAAAACCAGAAGATTTGTTTTTGTTTACAACAGATTGGGGTACTCCAATGGAGTCGCCGCCATTGGGCTTTAGACAACCCTTTATTGGTTTTGTTTTTTGAGATTTCTTTCTTTTGTTCATATGTATATATGATTGATGAAATTGGAATGAAAAAGACTTTGTCTTGCTTTCGTACGGGAATGATTTAAGGATGGGTATATGAATAGACCGAAACCATATCTGAAGGAAAGCGATTTTGAGGATATAATGGTTAAGAAAAACATAATTAAAAGTCATTATCTATACGAACATGGTGCACTTTCCTTTTCGGTGACTCAATCATAGTGACTCGATGGTTAAGAGTGAGATCTCATATCAGTTGGAGAGGGGAACGAAACATTCCTTATAAGGGTATGGAAACTTCTCCCTAATAGACGCGTTTTAAAAGATCATGAGGTTGACTGCGATACGTAACGGGTTAAAGTGGACAATATCTGCTAGCAGTGGCCTTGGGGTGTTACAAATTACCTCAGAGCTCACTAAACAGTACGAGGCACTAGCGGAGTAGGGCTAGACGCTCTCCATAGTAGACACAATTTAAAACCGTGAGGCTAACGACGATGCGTAACAGGCCAGAGCGGACAATATTTGCTAACGGTGGGTTTGTACTATTACAAATGGTATCAGAGCTAGTCACCAGACGATGCAAGGCACCGGTTGGAGTAGGGCTAGACCTCTCCATAGTAGACGCGTTTTAAAACTATGAATCTAACGACGATATATAACGGGTCAAAGGAGACAATATCTACTAGCGGTGGGCTTGGGCTGTTACAAATGGTATCAGAGTCAGTCACTGGACGGTGCGAGGCACTGGTTGGAGTAGGGCTAGACTCTCTCCATAGTAGACGCGTTTTCAAACTATGAGACTGACGGTGATACATAACGGATCAAAGCGGACAACTTCTACTAGCAATGAGCTTGGGCTGTTACATTAAGTGTACTATCTACCTAAGAATTTTCTTGAGATGTATGTGAGTATGGACGAATCGTGCTCGAATAACTCATATTGGTCCATGAGAATAGTCTACCATCTTAAAAAGTGAAAAACAGGTAATGTGACCATGTTGTATAAAAGAATGTCAGGGTCATCGGGGGCCAAATTCGGATTCTAAGTCCTCATTCAAAACCTCACGTATATCTAAACAAATACATGGAATAAACAAATATATGTGTGGAGAGGGGGATTGGTGAGTTGGGAATATTAGGTGGATCCATGCATGAGGATCTCCATATTAATTCCAATGCAGAGGCGTTACACCTTCCTGCTAAAACATCTGCCTCTCTTTCACAACTTCTCTAGACCTTTCATCTGTATTCACTTCATTGATCAAAACAAACACACAAAAGAGAATTTGATTTGACTTCGTTTTACAATGGACAATTAAAGCCAAGATCTGTGGGTAGAGCTGTAGCTGCTCAATCCAAGTCTGGACCCACAGGAATTCCCTTTTGTTTTTTACTCTCATTTGGATTCTTTTCAAGAACTTCTCTCATATCTTCATTTCATTACCTTGATTCCCACAACAATTCTCTGTTCTAAAGCAATGGAGGCTCAAAACCATGCCACTGATGAATCTGTCTCCTCTGGGCCTTGTGTGGATTTTCAGCTCAACTTCAAGAACAACCCAACTAACCATGATACCACTTCTGCCAATTCCTCTAATGTTAGTTCTTTTCTTGCCTTCAAAAGCTTCATTTTGATTGGTTTAATCCATGTTTAAGTGAGTTCGTTGATGTTTGAATGATCAGGTGGGCTTGGGATTGGAACTGGGATTGGGAGCAGCTCATTCAGATCAAGATAGCTATCATCAAGCCTATCAAAACAGTAATCCAGGCCTTGGAAACTTCTCTCCTCTCCAGGATTTGTCTCTGTAGGTCAACTTCTTCCTGTTATTTTGATTAAATCTATGAATGATCACGGGTTTATAAGTAAAGAATACACCTCCATTGATATGAGACCTTTGGAGAAGCCCAAAGTAAAGTCACGAGAGTTTATGCTCAAAGTGGACGATATCATACCATTGTGGAGAGTCGTGATTCCTAACCTAGTATTTGAGTCATATTCTTAACTTAGTCATGTCAATAGAATCTTCAAATGTCGAACAAAGAAGTTGTGAGCTTCGAAAGTATAGTCAAAAGTAACTCAACTGTCGAACATAGGGTGAACTTTGTTCGAGGAGCCACGATTAAGGGGAGGTTGTTCGAAGGCTCCATAGGCTATGGGGAAGGCTCTGTACACTGTTATTGGATGAAATCTATGAACTTTTAACAAATTTATATGCTTATTATGAACTTTTTTTTAGAACTCTAAACATGCGTTCCACCGGCACCAGCCCACATAGCGTCAACATTACTAACGTTTATCAGAACTGGGTAAGACGGCAGCAGGCACACTCCCACAATCCCATGCCTTTCAGGTATTCTAAGTTTTTCAAGTTCTTCAAATTCCTTATTTGAGAATGGACTTGGTTCATATATGTTGTGAAACATCTTAGGCTGCAGTCCGGGATGAATTCATACCATGATGATCGACCCGAAGCACCAAAACTTAGAAAGGTCGAACCTTTTTTTTCTAACCATGAGTTGAACTATACTCAAGTTATCATCTTTTTGATCTTACCGACTTAAATTTTGTTAGAGAGCTCGAGATGATGATGCTGCTCTAACGCATTGCACCGTTAGAGAGTCGTTGTCGTCACAGACTTCCCTATACACCAAGGTAACACATTTACATAGTGTGGATTTACAGAGAAAAAGTTTTATGGCAGAAAACTTGTAGGGTGGAACAGGGAAATTTGGGAGAATGAAGAATCAATCGGCTCATGTTTCGTCTTTAATTGCTGCGAAGAGGAACCCATCGGATGGCAGGTTGTTCTTATTATAAACCTAATTGGTTGCTTCAAATTTCTTATTATGATTAAATTTTGGTTCATTTCTTCAGGCCTACCAACTCTGTTTATGATATCATGTTTGAAGAAGTTGGTCTACCAATGGATCCTCATCTTCGCCTCTTTTCCCCCCTTTAATTTTCATTATCTCTTATATTTATATCACTTATGTACGAACAATTTCACTCCATTCGAATGACGCACATCATAGATCGATACAAGTTCACAATTTTCTATGCATGTTGAGTTTATCTCTTTTCATTTTTTCCTTATCAGACTATTAATGGCTCATTGACTAAGAGGGAAAAAAGATAGATTGGTCTCGGGATTTGCCTTCCTAACCAACACATTTTTAAATTGTGAGACTGACGGCTACATATAATAAGCTAAAATGGACAATATCTACTAGCAGTGAACTTAAGTTGTTACTATATCAATACTATCAAAAATGGTTGATTTAATTTAAAAAGAAAAGAAATAAATATAGAAATTGACCATGGAACAACAAATAAACAAAAAAGATATTCCAACTCGGAAATTCATGGGTTGGTTTGACGTGGTCGCCCAATCACATTACCGAACAGCGACCGAGAACCGACCCAAGTTCAACATCGTCCGGCGTGTCTATTAATGGGACCCATCACATCACAAAGTACCCACTAACAACCAATAACAACCTTCCATTTTAAAACCTGTTTCTCCCAATATTCCACGTGGATTAACTATCCTACTTGAACTGTCCTGTTTTCCGGGATTCCGATGCTCTGTTTCATAAATCTTCGTGAGTTTTCTCAGCAACCAAACAAAACAGTGAACCAGTTTCAGCTACATTGTATGTGGTCATCCCTTTGTCTATATAATTCCATGGGGTGATTTTATAATTTAACTTTGTGGGAAGAACAAGAAAGATCTGAAGCAGAACAGAGGAGACGAGGTAGAGGTACCATTATGAGATGTTTTGGATATTCCTTAATGTATTACGATCTTATGATCTTTGTTTCACGTCTTCGATATGTTTTTATGAAATCCCCTGCTCAATTTCCACTTATTAAGAGTAAATTTTTTAACTCTGGGATCAGGTTGGGGTTCCTTATTCAATTCGTGTCTCATGCTGCTATTGTTGGCTTCGTGGGCGCCTGCCATCACCATTGCTCTCCAACAAGTCAAAGTATAACAGTCCAAGTCCACCGCTACTATATATGGTTTTTTTTAGATTTTTCCTTCCGAACTTCCCCTCAACATTTTTAAAACGGGTATGTTGGGGAGAGGTTTTCACACACTTTATAAGGAATGTTTCGTTCCCCTCTTCAACCAACGTGGGATCTCACAATCTACCCCCTTGGGGGCCTAGCGTCCTCGCTGGCATACCGCCCGGTGTTTAGCATTGATACCATTTGTATCAGCCCAAGCCCACCGCTAGTAGATATTGTCTTATTTGGATTTTTCCTTCCAGGAAGTCCACCGCTACCAAATATTGTCTTATTTGGATTTTCCCTTCCAAGCTTCCTCTCAAGGTTTTTAAAACGCGTCCGCTAGGGAGAAGTTTCCACGCCCTTATAAGGAATGTTTCGTTCCCTTCTCTAATCTATATGGGCTCCCACACAAAAGCTTTCTTGGAATAAAGTTCAGTAGAGATTTTTTGTGTCAGTGTTCTGAATCTCTTGTTTGGATTTCTAGGAAGCCATTGCAATTGGAACAAGGAAATGATAGCAATGGGGGTCATGAATGTTGTTGGTTCAATGACTTCCTGCTATGCAGCAACATGTTAGAAAAGAAACAAGAGCAAACTTCTCAGAACAAGAGCCTTATTTGACTGCCTAAGTATCCTAAATATCATGTACTTGTCAAGTTATTGTATCCATATCTTGGACAACTATAAATGGTATCAAACCCAGACACCAAACGGTGTGCCAGTGAGAACACTGACCTTCCAAGAGAGGTGGATTGTGAGATCCCACATTGGTTGGAGAAGGGAACAAATCATTTTTTATAAGAGTGTGAAAACCTCTCCCTAGTAGACGCGTTTAAAATCGTAAAGTTTACGGCATTACATAACGGGTCAAAGCAAACAATATTTACTAGCGGTGGGTTTGAACAGTTACAAATGGTATCAGAGCCAAACACTAGTCATGCAGTGACCTACCTGGTTTGGAAGATCTAAATGGGAGACTCAAGAAAACAGAAATTCAGGCAAAAACTACACCATTTACAGAATCAGCATGACTAGTTTTGAGCAACAGCAAAATAGAAGAACATTGGACAACAATATCAATACGTGATCAATGAACTTTGAGAGTAAAATCTCCTAACCTGAAGTTATGTTGGTGAATGAAAACAGCTCATTTAAGCAAATCCCGGACCCGTGGTGATCAACAAGCTTCACGCATCACTCAAGATTGAGTTATCTTGTTCTTTTCACTGAATTATGTATCACCTAATACAACAGTGGAATTAACACAAATCATCACAGCATTTGAAGTTGTTCTTTAGAATTTAACCCAAAAAAAAAAGTTGAAGCAACTGGCAGCAGCCAATATCATGCAAAACAAGGCAAACCCACCGTAGAGAATGTGGCCCTAATGGAAGGGAAATTTGAATGAATACCCACATGGTCATAAATGATAATTAATCAACGGAATCCAACAAAAAAAGCAATAGAACAGAGAAGGATTAGGGTTTGGATTGTAGGAGTGAGTGAGGACAGAACACAATCGAGGGGCTCCCCCACGCACATACAAACACACACAAACAGTGTAATATACGAAGTACGAACCTAAAAGCCAACTGTGCGCTCTGTTGTAATAAAAACAAAGGGGCTTCTGAGCTGCTACTGCTGCTCCTGCCGCTGGACGTCGGTGGAGAGCATCAAACGACAGTTGGCTGGCCGCTTGCATTTTTGCGTCTCCCCATTTCCCTATTCCCCAATCCACTGTCGACACCGCTTCGAGACGCTGGTCGACTCGTGGGTGTCCTTCAGAAGATGATCGATTCGCGGGTATTTCTCTACACCAATTAATTTTTATTCTTTACCATCACAATTTCTGTTATATTTAAAAATTTAATCTTTGGTCATTTTATATAGTAACCATGTAAAGATGCACATTAGTATAAGAATTTAAGGCCATATTTATAGTTTTTTTTTTTTTTTTTTTTTTTTTTTT